GAGTTAATAAGAGTTAAAGAAGAGCCTAAAGATAAATGATGCTTTTTTGGTTTTTGTTTTGTTTCTTTTTGCTTTAAAGCACAGAAAAAAAGGAAACCCTGTTTTGTTATGATCTAACATAAGGTTAACGATTTCAGGCAAGACAGCATCTTTTCGAGCTATGGCTTTTATAAGAAATGTGCCACAGGGTACTAGAGCCTCTGTTAAGGTGATAGTTGAGCAGAGACCTGAAGGAACAAGAGAATGAGCTTGGAAGCTCTGGGAAAGAACATTCCAGGCAGGACCAAGAGCCAGTGCAGAGATCCTGAAGTAGGAATGAAGTGGGTCTGTATATGGAGCAGCAAAAAGGCCCTTTTTGTTAGAGGGCCCATTTGGTTAGGAGATAAGTTGGACAGGAAACTAGGAGCCAGGTCCTGTAAGGCCTTTTAGGGTCCAGGTATCTTTTTTAAATCTAAATATATAGATCTTTAGATACCAGCAATAAGGCTTCTGGGGTCAGGTTTGGGATAATGTTACAGGAAGCAGTGAGAATTTTCCTCCATAATATTTTATATTAGGTAACTATTACTTTGAATTACATTTCTTAATTGTCATGTTAGGCCTAGTGCTTCCTTTGGAAATCCAGTTTATATAAAAGTTGCTTTTAGGCTGGGCGCAGTGTCTCATGTCTGTAAAATTAGCTGGGCCATGGTGGCAGGTGCCTGAAATCACAGCTACTTGGGAGGCTGAGGCAGGAGAATCGCTTGAACCTGGGAAGTGGAGGTTGCAGTGAGCTGAGATCATGACACTGCACTCCAGCCTGGGTGACAGAGTGAGACTCTGTCTCAAAAAAAAAAAAAAAAAAGTTGCTTTTAAAGAATATTAATATAATGAACTTCATTGTCACTTTCCATCTTACTTTACTTATTATTATTATTATTTTTGAGACAGGGTCTCACTCTGTCGCCCAGGCTGGAGTACAATGGCACAATCTCAGCTCACTGCAATCTCTGCCTCCCAGGTTCAAGTGATTCTCCTGCCTCAGCCTCCCAAGTAGCTGGGATTACAGGTGCACACCACCACACCTGGTTAATTTTTGTACTTTTTAGTAGAGATGGAGTTTGGCCGTGTTGGCCAGGCTGGTCTCAAACTCTTGATCTCAGGTGATCCGCCCGCCTCAGCCTCCCAAAGTGCTGGGATTACAGGTGTGACTGCACCTGGCTTCAAATTTTTTATTGAGGCATACATGATACATGTAAATAACACAAATTTTAAGTCTACAGTTTGATGAGTTTTTACCTATGTGTACACCACCCAGGTCAAGATATAGAGCGTCTCCATTCATAAAGTTCCTTCATGCTCCTTCCCAGCCAGCAATTCTTCTTACTGTCCTGCTGACTCCTGTTTTCACCTCCATCACCATCAGTTCGTTTTGCTTGATATTGACTCATAAACAGAATCATATAGTAGGTGCTTTATCCAGTGTAGGCAGTCTGTTTTTGCTTTAATTATTACAAGAGTATACATCCATATTGTGTGAAGCGGTAGTTCTTTTGCATTGCTGTGTAGTATTCTGTTGTATAATTGTATAAATATATGTTGTATGAATGTAAGTATAGCACAGTTTATTCTGATTGGACATCTGGTTTATTTCTAGTTATTAGCTAGCATAAATAAAGCTTCTGTGAGTACTCTTGTGTGTATTCTGGTGAACAGATGCATTTCTTTCTTTTGATTATATATACCTAGGAGTAGAATTGCATAGAATAGTCATGTGCAGGCCGGGCGCGGTGGCTCACGCCTGTAATCCCTGCACTTTGGGAGGCCGAGGCGGGCGGATCACGAGGTCAGGAGATCGAGACCATCCTGGCTAACACGGTGAAACCCCGTCTCTACTAAAACACAAAAAATTAGCCGGGCGCAGTGGCAGGTGCCTGTAGTCCCAGCTACTCGGGAGGCTGAGGCAGGAGAATGGCGCTAACCCGGGAGGCGGAGCTTGCAGTGAGCCGAGATCGAGCCACTGCACTTCAGCCTGGGTGACAGAGTGAAGACTCCGCCTCAAAAAAAAAAAAAAAAGAATAGTCATGTGCATAGCACTAGTACCTTGGTTTTTAATGTGTGGCTCTTGGACCAGCAGTATCAGGATCACCTGGCAATTCATCAGAAGTGCAAATTGTCATTGAAAATCCTTATGGGCCAGGTGTGGTGGCTCACGCCTGTAATCCCAACACTTTGGGAGGCCGAGGCGGGTGGATCACCTGAGGTCAGAAGTTTAAGACCAGCCTGGCCAGCATAGTGAAACCCCGTCTCTATTAAAAATACAAAAAATTAGCTGGGCCGTGGTGGCAGGTGCCTGAAATCCCAGCTACTTGGGAGGCTGAGGCAGGAGAATTGCTTGAACCTGGAAGGCGGAGGTTGCAGTGAGCCGAGATCACACCATTGCACTCCAGCCTGGGTGAGAGAGTGAGATTTTGTTTTTTAAAAAATGTCCTTATGACTCATGTAGTCCAGTACTTCTTACTCTTCCTTTTCACAGTGTACATAAGAAAGCAGACCTGGCTGAGTGTGGTGGCTCACGCCTGTAATCTTACCACTTTGGGAGGCTGAGGTGGGAGGATCACATGAGACTAGGAGTTTGAGATCACGGGTTCAAGACCAGCCTAGGCAACATAAAGATACCTCATTTCTTAAAAAGAAAACTGAGACCCAAGTAAATCCAAATGATCTGTCATAGAGACACACCAGTTACAGGCAGAAGGGAGACGCCGGACACAGGTTTCCCAAATTTTAGTCTAGTGCTATAGAACACTGGTCCTCAAAGATGTGGGCTCCAGTTGAGCTGCAGCATCAACATATTAGAAATGCAAATTATTTATTTATTTATTTGAGACAGAGTCTTGCTCTGTCGCCCAGGCTGGAATGCAGTGGCGCAATCTCAGCTCACTGCAACCTCTGCCTCCCAGGTTCAAGCAATTCTCCTGCGTCTGCCTCCCAATTAGCTGGGATTACAGGCATGTGTAACCACACTCAGCTGATTTTTATAGATTTAGTAGAGATGGGGTTTTACTGTGTTGGCCAGGCTGGTCTCAAACTCTTAGCCTCAAATGATCCACTACCCTCAGCCTCCCAAAGTGCTGGGATTACAGGCGTGAGCCACTGTGCCTGGCCCTAGAAATGCAAATTCTCAGGACCCACCACAGACCCCTAATCAGAAACCCTGGGTGTGGGGAGGATGATCATGATAAGAACTAGCTGTGTTAAGAAGAAATGTTCTTTTTAAACTGTGAGATGACCTCACAAAGATGAACAGATCAATGTAAATTATTAAATAATTGGTAAGGATAAGTAGGACTGAAACCTTGATGATGAATGTGAGAGTATTTCTCCTGGATTTTCCCAAGGGCTGCTTTAACAGCCATTTGGGATTCATGTCACTTGGTATCATGTGAGTTAAAATGTGTATTTTATATAAGGTCATCCAATTAGGAATAAAGGGGAGATGTTCTTATCACATATGCTGTTTCACATTTTTCATTCGTTCAACAAAGAATGAACATTAAGTGGTGAATGTTGTACTGGAAATCAGGACTCTCAGGATGAAAAAACTTCAGTAAGTGAGTTTTCAGTCTAGTGGATAGACAAGTCAACAGATCATTAAAATATAAGGTAACTACTGTAATGGTGTTGTGTATAAAAGAGCATAGCAGAATAGAATCTGACTGAGGGAGTTAAAAAACTTTACAGAGGAGGTTGCAAAATTCAGTAGGGAGGGAAAACATGTGAATCTTGAGACTCGTTCAAGGCCCAGTGTGTGTGGTGGTTGAGTCCAGGCTCTGGAGTCAGAGACTCTTGGGTCAAAATTCCGGTTTCATGATAACTGTGTAACTTTGGTAAGGTTCCTGTCATCACTCCAGAGCAGATTTCTCATCTGTCAAATGGGAACAAATAGGACCTACTTGAAAGGGTTATTATGAGGATAAGTGAGGTACCCTGTATTGTATGCTTAGTACAGTGCCGGGCACATGGCAAAGACTACATAACTGTTCTGTTTTGGGAATAATACAAGTTGTTCAGTAGTATTAGAACATAAAATGTGAGGAGGCAAGTGCCAGGAGATAAAGGCTAAACAAGTGGAGAGAGGCCAGGCCATCAAAGGCATTAAATCTCAGCAGATGGTTTTCATTTTTATCATATGATCATGGAGATCTGTGAAGAATTTGGAGGAAATAAATGAAATTTTCTGAATTACAAAACCTACTTTAAAAGCAGAGTAGATAATGAATTGGAGGAGTCACAAGGGATAGTGGATCGCAGGAAGATGGTGGTGCAGACCAGGTCAAAGATGACTATCTGCATGTAGGGCAGTGATTGAGGGCATGGAGGGGAGTAGTTTTATGTAAAATGCACTGGACTTGATGATTGGACTATAAGGGATGACTCCTGAGTTTCTGGCTGGCGGAATGTAGTAGGAATTGGTGCCTTTCACTTAAATGGCACCTAGGATGATAGCACTTAGAAGACTGCATTCAGCATGAGGGGATAGGTTTGAAGAGAGGAAGTAGTTTTAGATTTTGAATATTTGTCTATGAATTGCCTCTGGGACATTTCAGGTAAAGTCTAGAGAAAACAATGCTGGTATTGCACGGGAGCACTGTTTAGGCTCTCAAGATAGACTTGAGTCATCAGGATGATTCAGGACGTATGTGAAGCCCTGACACCACTCAAAGAGTCAAAGAATGTTTCTAAAGGGGAGGAAGTCTTAAGTACTGAGCCCAAGGAAAACATTAGATTTTTTATTTTTATTTATTTATTTTTTTTTTATTTTTTGAGACAGAGTTTTGCTCTTGTCACCCAGGCTGAAATGCAATGGCACAGTCTCGACTCACTGCAACTTCTGCCTCCTGGGTTCAAGCAATTCTCCTGCCTCAGCCTCCTGAGTAGCTGGGATTAAACAGGCACGCACACCATGCCTGGCTAATTTTTGTGCTTTTAGTAGAGATGGGGTTTTGCCATGTTGGCCAGGCTGGTCTTGAACTTCTGACCTCAGGTGATCCACCCATCTCAGCCTCCTAAAGTGCTTGGATTACAGGTGTGAACCACCGCGCCCAACCCAGAAAACATTAGTTTTTAAGAAGCAAACAGAATAGTAAGCTGAAAGAACTTCAGCTTGTTGGATTTGATAAGGGGTTACTAGTGGCTTTGAGAAGATTAAGACTAGAGAGGCAAACATTTTTATATTTTGTGGCAAAGGAGATGTGGTCAAATTAGAGATTGGGGAAAAGGCAGAAAAATGTCCGCAAGGAGAGAAATCAATACTTTTTTCATTGAGTGCTTACTGGGTGCCAGGTATAGATCTAAGTAAGCCCAAAACCCTGGATTGATCTTCAGTTTATCTTATCCTGCATTGGCAAGTCTTGCTGGTTCTAATATATTCCAGCTCATTATATTTCTCTTCATCACCTCTGTGGCTAACATCCTTTTCTAGCCTAGACTTAATGTAGAAGTTTTCTAAGAAGTTTTTGTTTCCAGTCCTGATATGTTATTATGCATTCACCATACAGCAACCAGAATGACATTTAAAAAGAGTAAATTGGACCATGTCTCTCTCCTACTAACAACGAACTTTCCATGGCTTTCCATCGCACCTAAGGTCCAAATTTCTTATAACAGCCTGCAAGGTGCAAAGTGAGGCCCTTGAAGTAGCATCTTATAGCTTCTTTGCTCTCTTAGTTTGAGCCACACTTTCTTTCTGTTGATCGAATGTCACCCCAGGTGAGTTGAGGGGCATCTGTATTCATTGCTTTGTGAGAATTATGCTACTAGATTAAAGCAAAGTCAGTGACACATGTGGCTATTGAAACAATTTTACGACTTAAGAAAACTGGAAAAATCCCTAGAGTTTGTAGGCAGTTGGCAGAAAATAAAAGTGCTTCTGTGTTCCTGCACTTGTCCTTGATCTCCCTAGTTGTGTAATCTCTTACATAATTATTTTTCCAGCTACCACACCTACATGTTGTGACTGCACAGGGTGAAAAAGTTTTAATCTCTCTAATGTTAACTCTTGATCAGTTGCTATAGCCATCTATTAGATTGTATCTGGCTTTGAACAGAATGTTTAATTGCATTTTATTAGAGTTGTGTGCTATTGATAGAGGATAAGACAGGGCAATGTAAGCTTGATGCTGTATGTATGTATTTATAGCAGGTATGATTCAACTTTAAATATAAAGTTATAGTTCTATTATTTCGTTAACCTAGTATGTGATAGGAGATCTATACTTAATATATTTTAATATAGTGATGATTGAAATAACTGCAAGGTATAGATGAAACTGATGGATTTCACATTCCTTTTTTGTTTATCATTTGGAATTTACTCTATTTTACTGACTAGAAAACATCCTATTCTTCAATCAAGCTGAGTAGGCTACATTTAACGCTATGAAAGCTCTATATCCATTAGCTTTATATCCCATCTTGTTTCTGTTGATAAGTGTAACTTTATTCTTTAAGAAACTGCTTTAATTCCTTTGTATAATGATATTTTGGAATAAGCAAGTATGTACAATTAAAGTGAAATTCCTTCTGAAGTAAGTTCTAAAATTGAATTTTACTGGAAATGGTACTAGATGTTAACAGTATTTTAGAAAGTGTCTTGGCATACTAACATATACTTAAAATAAATTTTTTCTTTCAACAATAGAAAATACTAAGATGTTTTTATTTAGAAAGAAGGCTGTTTTCCAGATCTTGTGTGTGTGTTAATTTGGTTTAAATATGTTCATGCAGGATATGTGAATACCATTTAAAAAACTATGCTGCTGCTCTAGAAACTTTTATAGAAGGACAAAAATTCGATAGTAAGTATTAAATTATAATTTTATAAACGTATCCATTTCTGTCTTAAATAGCAAAGCTGAATTTTGTTAATGTTAATCTCAACTTATTTACAGAAACCCAATACCTATTTTTCTCATCTTAATTACATTTCATATTGTTTGCAGATATGAGATCACTTAAAATTGGTTAAATCAGTCTTTTAGCATTTAAACCACAGATAAACTTACCATTAGAAGTAAAAAAACTATATGGAAACACTTAACATGCTCTCTCTACTTAGTCTGGCTTTGTTTTTTTCTAACGGAGAAATGAAAGTTTAATTTGCTTTCTTGGTCAGAAGTCTGTTCATTTTAAGTTAACCAGAATGCCGAGATGGGAAATCTTAACAATAAGGTTTTTATAGAGGAATGAAGTGTATATTTCGATAAATTATGAGAGGGTACAGAAGAAACACAGAGTTTTGAGAGTATTGTGAGTTTTTAATGTTGTATTTTTTAGGGGAATATATGAAAATTATCACAGCAGTGTGGATATCTAGACATATATAGAAATTGTGAGAGCAAGAATTTTAAAATCGGAAAAATACTAAGAGGTTGTGAGTAATCCCAGAAAATTGTAGACTACATAATCCTACTTGTACTATTATTTTATCTTTATGTTATGATAGAATTTTATAACCATTCTCTAAAGCAGTGGTTCTTAACTGGAAATATTTTGTTTCCCAGGAAACTTCAGGCAATGTTTGAAGAGATTTTTGGTTATCATGAATGTTGGATAGGGGATGAGCTACTGACATGTAATGAATGTAAACCAGGGGTGCTACTAAATATCCTCTAATGCCCAGGACAGTCCTGCCCAACAGAGAAGTATCTGGTTCAAAATGTCAGTAGTGCTGAGTTAAGAAACTCTGCTCTTATGTATTATATGTTAAATTCTTACTCTGTCCTGCTTTAAATGTTTGCTTTTCTGCTGTATATCTGTTCAAAAAAAGGATTTTAGACCTGATTACACAAATGGAAGCTACAAATTAGGAAAGGAAAGGTCTGGGTGATAGGGCTTATTCTCAAATGTGCTTATCCCAGTTTCAGTTTTGGCATGTGAGTAATAGGGCTATTCAGTCAGCAAGACAGCATATCTACACTCCTAGCAAATTCTAGAGTCAAGTTATCTAGTGCCTTGATACATATGTGAAAACCCTGAAAAAACATGAGTCATACCATCCTCTACATTTTCTTTTTTTTGAGACAAGGTCTCACTCTGTTGCCCAGGCTGGAGTACAATAGTGCGGTCTTGGGCCATTGCACCCTCCTCCTCCTGGGCTCAACTGATCCACCCACTCCAGCCTCCCAAGTAACTGGGGCTACAAGTACGTGCCACCACATCTGACTAATTTTTGCTTTTTTTTTTTTCAGAGACAGGGTTTTGCCATGTTGCAAAGGCTGGTCTTGAACTCCTGGGCTCAAGCGATCCGCCTGCCTCGGCCTCCCAAAGTGTTGGGGCTACAGGTGTGAGCCATTGTGCCTGGCCTCATCCTCTACCTTTCTAGGTCCTATTACTTTTAAGAGCAATAGAAAAGTTTCCTACCTAAATTCCTTTCCTGTTTTTCTTTTTTTGGGGGCTGGGGGCGCAGAGTCTTGCTCTGTCACCCAGGCTTGAGTGCAATGGCACCGTCATAGTTCACTGCAGCCTTGAATTCCAGGGCTCAAGCCATCCTTCTGCCTCTGCCTCCTGAGTAGCTGGGACTACAGGCACGTGCCACCACACTGAGCTAATTCGTTAAACATTCTTTTGTAGAGACGAGGTCTTGCTACACTGCCCACTGCCCAGACTGGCCTCTGAACTCCTGGCCTCAAGTGATCCTACTGCCTTGGCCTCCCAAAGTGCTGGCATTACAGACATGAGCCACTGCACCTGGCCCCGAAATGCTTTTCTTGAATAACCTGTCTTGTCTTGTCTTGTCTTGTCTTTTTTTTCTTTTCTTTCTCTTTTCTTTCTTTTCTTTTTTTTCTTTTCCTTCTTTCTCTCTCTTTTCTTTCTTTTCTTTTTTTCTTTTCCTTCTTTCTCTCTCTTTTCTTTTTTCTTTTCTTTCCTTTCTTTTCTTTCTTTCTCCATGGAGTCTCACCCTGTCGCCCAGGCTGGAGTGCAATGGCACAGTCTCGGCTCACTGCAACCTCTGCCTCCTGGGTTCAGGTGATCCTCTTGCCTCAGCCTCCCGAGTAGCTGGGATTACAGGCACACAGCACCACACCTAGCTAATTTTTTGTATCTTTAGTAGAGATGGAGTTTTACCATGTTAGCCAGGCTGGTCTCAAACTCCTGACCTCGTGATTTGCCCACCTCAGCTCCCAAAGTGCTGGGATTACAGACATGAGCCACTGTGCCCAGCCGAATAAAATCTTAATATCATGCCATTGACATTTATTCTCTAATTATTTCAGAGGTGGCCTTCAGAAGAAGGCCTCCTTGGTAAAATTGGTATTGAGGATATTTCACTGGAAAACAAATTTATCTATAAATTTAAATCCAGGAAAAATTTAAGTTAAACTTTTATGCTTCTATTTTTATCAGACAGGGTAAAAACTTTGTAACTCAGAATATTACCTTTTCCCCTCTCTGTGTGACAGATTGCTTGGTTTTAGTTACTAATTATTTAAAATAATAAGTTATTCAAAGCTGGGATTTTGATGGAATAGTTCTTCTCTAGAATATAGTGTGTGTGTGAGAGTGCATTTAAAATTTTTATTAAGGCCCATGTAGTTGTATTTCTTTTATAAATTAGTAAATTGGAAAATTTTGTTTTAAGAAATTTTTAATTTAAAATTTCCAGATTGCTCTTGCCTGCAGTTATCTTGAATTAGTAAGCTTTTATTTAGAGTACTTTCAATATTTTTAACTTATTTTACTATGCACTGTATTTAAATGTAATCATTGTTCTGTGTCCCCAGAGATGGAAAATGTGTTTATGGATACATTTATGCTATTATCTGTAAGTATATAATTTATCACCTGTAGCCTCTCGACTGCCATGTAGCTTGGAGATACGACAAAACTTTACAGAATTTAAAGATGCTTCTCATTGTTGGCAGGAAAGGCATGGTAACAGATAAAGCCACTGAGAGAATAGTAGACTGAATAGGTAGCTGCATTGAAGAGCAAGCTGGGGCTGGGACAGGCTTATGGGCCTCAACTCAGCTCCCAGTTACCAAGCCTCCTCCCTAACCTAACTAATGGCATATTGGGAGTCTGATTTAGTTCTGACTTTGTTGTGTGTATGAGGAAGCTTCTCTAAGGGCAGAGGGGTTGAGGGAAATGTACATTATTTATAACTGTGAAATTAGTAAGGTTGACTGTAGTTAAAATTAATTTTAAAAAACCAAAATGTTTCAGGATGAACAATTAAATGTTAAACTATGGGTATATTTATAGCTATAACAGTTTGCCATTAACTTCTGTTAAGACAGGTTTTATTCACCACTGACTCCCCAGTGCCAAGAACAGTGCCTGGGATGCAGTAAGTATTTAATAATTATTTGCTAATTAATCAGTTGTGCAGATGAGTGATGTGATCTTTTTTTCTTTCTAGGTGCAGATTTTAATGTCAGTGACTGAATTAAAAGGTGTTGAGAAGCTCAGAATGGTATGTAGGTCTCCCATGATATTTCAATTTAAAAAGAAGTAAACATTTGAAATTTTTTGGTTTAAACAAATTTGTTTTTACCTTTATAATTTATTTTAAATAATACATGTTTCCTTAAATATAGACTTCCAAAATTACACTGGTTTTGCCTAGCTTCTTATGTTGAAAAGGAGATTTGGGTGGATTTACTTGTATGGGCAACAGAGTGAGACTCTGTCTCAAAAAAAAAAAAAGTACAAACTACTATTAAGATGACTCTGCTTTTTGTTTTGTTTTTTAATTAAGCTGAATTTATGTTACTTTATTATGTGGGAACAGTAAATAATTTAAATTACAGTTTAAGTAACTAAGTTTTAGATTCCTTTATATTTTCAAAAAGAAAGATATACAATAGAATTAATATTCAGATAACATTTAACTGTTACTCAAAATATGTAGATAATAACCAGGTGCGGTAGCTCATGCCTGCAATCCCAGCACTTTGGGAGGCCCAGTTGCGCGGATCACCTGAGGTCAGGAGCTAGAGACCAGCCTGGCCAACATTGTGAAACCCCATCTCTACTGAAAATACAAGAATTAGCCGGGTGTGGTGGTGCGTACCTGTAATCCCAGCTACTCGGGAGGCTGAAGCAGAAGAATCACTTGAGCCCGGGAGACAGGTTGCAGCTAGCCGAGATCATGCCAGTGCACTCCAGCCTGGGTAACAGAGTGAGACTCTGCCTCAGTGGAACATGTGGTTGATCTTGAAATACGTTTGGTATGCAAATGAGAAGAATGTATATTCTGTGGTTGAGTGTTCTTTAGGTTTCTATTAGGTGCAATTGGTCAAGTATTGAATTTAAGTCCAAAGTTAATTTCTTTTTTAGTTTTCTGCCTTAATGATCTGTGTAATGTTATCAGTAGGCATTGAAGTCCCCTAACTATTGTTGTGTGGCTAAGTGTTTTCACAGGTCTAGAAGTGTCTGTTTTATTAACCTGGGTGAGCCAATGTTGGGTGCATATATATTTAGGATAGTTAAGGCTTCTTGTTGAATTGAACTCCTTATCGTTATGTAATGCCCTTTTTTGTCCTTTTTTACTATTGTTGGCTTAAAGCCTGTTTTATCTGTTTTAGGAATAGTGACCCCTGCTCTTTTTTGTGTTTTGTTTGTGTGATCTTTCTTCAACCCTTTACTTTGAATGTAATGGTGTTGTTACATGTGAAATGGGTCTCTTGAAGACAGCAGACAGATGGGTTTTGTTTTTTGTTTTTTTTTGTTTTTGTAATCCAACTTGCCACTCTGCGACTTTTAAGTGGTGTCTTTAAACCATTTGTCATTCAGGGTTAATGTTGACCTGTGAGCTTTTCACCCTATTGTGAAATTGTTAGCTGGTATTTTGTACTTTCTATTGTGTGGTTGTTTTATAGGGTCTGTGTGCTATGTACTTAAGTATGTTATATAGCAGGTATCATTCTTTCATTTCCATGTTTAGAACTCCCTTAGGCATCTCTTGTAAGAGTGGTCTAGTGGTAATGAATTCTCTTGGCACTTGCTTCTCTGGAAAAATGTTTTTGTTTTTTTTTCTCCTTCACTCCTGAAGCTCAGTTTGGAAGGATATGAATCTTTTGATTATAATTTATTTTCTTTAAGAATTCTGAAAATAGACCCCCCAATCTCTCCTGGCTTGTAAGGTTTCTGCTGAGAAGTCTGCTCTTATCCTGATGGGGCTCCCTTTGTATGTGAACTGGCCTTTTTCTCTAGTGCCTTTTAGGACTTTTTCTTTAATGGTGACCTTGGACAGTCTGGTGAGTATATGCCTTGGTAATGTTCATTTTTTTATAGTATCTGCAGGTGCTCTCTGGCTTTATTGTACCTAGATGTCTACCTTTCTAGCAAGAGTCAATAAATTTTCTTGAATTATTCCATCAAATATATTTTCCAGGTTGTTTTCTTTTTCTCCTTTTCTCTAGGGAATACCAGTAATTTGTAGGTTTGATCACTTTACATAATCTCATATCTCTGAAAGGCTTTCTTCACTTTTAAAAAATCTTTTTCTTTATTTTTGTCTGACTGCATTAGTTCAAAAGATCAGTTTTCAAGCTCTGAAATTATGTTTTCTACTTGGTCCAGTCTATTGATAAAAGCTTTCAATTGTATTTTGAAATTCCTTAAGTGAGTTTTTTTAAATTCCAGAAGTTCTGATTAATTTCTTAAGATGTTTATCTCTTCCTTCATTTCCTGGGTTGATTTAGAAGTTTCTTTTTGTTGATTTCAACCTTGAATCTCATTGCGCTTTCTTGCAACCCATGCTTTGAATTCTTTGTCATTTCTGAGTTTTCATTTTGGTAGAAAGCGTTGCCAGAGAGCTAGTGTGATCCTTTGGTGGTGTCACTACATTCAGATTTCTCATGGTGCCCGAATTCTTGCACTGGTCCTTCTCATCTGGAGATGCTAGCACTTCTAGTTTTTGTAATTATTTTTCTTTGAGTAGAATTTTTTTTCCTTTCCTTTCCTATGATGATATTATTATTATTATATTTCTTCTTCTTCTTCTTCCTCTTCCTCCTCCTCCTCCTTCTCCTTCTTTCTTCTTCTTTCCCTTTCCCTCCTCCCTAGGGGGTGTGACTGTAGAGCATGCTAGATGGCATCTTTTGGCTTTGCTTCTGTAGCCCTATGCACTTCGGTCAGAAAGTTTTATATTGGGTGTGTGGTTTGACCTACAAGCCAGTAGATGGCACCATGGGTAAGAGCTGGCTGTGGCCAGTGCTGCTGGCTATATACTTGATCCTTGTTTATGGAGAGGAGCTTTCTGTTGCCTCAGGCAATGGACTGATTCCCAGAGTATACATTAATCTGAGCTCCCCCGATCCTCAGCCTTAGGGGTAGGGGTGTTGGGGGTACAACATGGGTGGAGCCAGATGGGGAAAGTCCCCCAATATTGTCCTTCTCTCAGTTCAGATTTGGGAAAATGCCTGCAGCTTTTCCCTGTGTCTTTCCCTCACAAAGTCTCCAACTCTCTCCTCTAATTAGTTCCAGGGCTTGGGAGAAGCCCCAGGTTGCTTGAATCCCCGGGTTGCTTGAATCCCCAGTGGAAAGGTAAGACAGAAGGATGTTGTCTGCCTCTCTCACATACTGAGGCTTCACTCTTTTTTATCAGTCGAATGCTGTAATGAGGGCTGTTTGGGCTGCATTGTCCTCCCCAGGATCTGGGGTGTCCTTCATAATTCCAGGGAATTGCCATTTTCTTTCTTGAATTAAAGTTCACAGAGTTTATCTTTATGTACTAGCTTGCTATTTCCAAATGACTGAGGCATGCTAAAAGCCTGTAATCTGCCATCTTGGAAAAAAAATCCTTGCATTCTTAAGAGAAATGGCACTTGGTGTTGATACGTGGTGTTTCTACATTGCTGAATTCATTTTGAAAATATGTATATTTTTAAATCTACATTCATGTGTATAGACTGGTATAAAGTTATCTTTTCTTCTATATTTGTGCAAGTTTGGAATCAGTTATATTAGTGTACTAAACGAGTTGACTAAAGGAATTTTTCTTTTTTACTATTATCCAAAAAAATTTATAAACACATGAATTATTGCTTTCTTATAGATTTAGTAAAAACTTCATTGTGTCCTTTTGTAGAGAGGTGGTGAGAAATATTTTTACTGTAAATGTAATTTGCGTATTCTTAACCTGTGAGGTGGAGGTTGCAGTGAACCGAGATTGTGCCACTGCACTTCGGCCTGAGTGACACAGCAAGACTCTGTCTCAAAAAAAGAAAGAAAATTAATTTAAAATGAACTCCTTGAATATTTCTGAGTGTGTTTTTATACCACATATGTTCCTTGAACTAACTTCTTTTCTAGGAAGAACTGGAACTGTGGTTTGTGCCTTCCTTATTGCCTCTGAACTATTTTTAACTGCAAAGGTATGAAAGATGTTACTACAAACTTTGTCTTACGATGACTGAGTTTGCTAGTTCTGAAACATCACTGGTAGGATGTTAAGATGATTTAGTCATGGTGCTTAGTGGAACTAATTGGAGAAGCAGTTTTTAGAAAGCCTGTTTTTGATACTTTCTTATTTAACATGCAGTAGTTAGTAGCTGACTTAAGAATCTCTTTGGGCCAAGACTAGAGCAAGGTCAATGAAGTGCAAAATTTAAGGGAATGCTAAAAATTGCAATAATTAAAATAATTTTTAATGCAATATTTTAACAATAAAAATTAATGCGAAATCTATGATGTATATAATATCAACATTTTAAATAAAGACAAGACCTGATGGGGCTGGATTAAGGTAAGGGGAGTAAAGCCATGTTACACAGATACAAAAACATTCAGTAATCATAGTGCTTCCCTCACCTCACCTGGCCCTGCTCTTACTCCTGCTAGTACCATTATTACCAGTGGGTCTTAGTTCTTAGAGCTCCCAAGATGGTGGCGGACCACTCCCAAGATGGTGGCTGGCCACTCCCAAGATGGTGGCGGGCCACTCCCAAGATGGCAGCAAGCCTTTTGTTCTCTCACCTGGGGTTCTTGGCCTCACCGATTCCAAGTAATGGAACCTTGGGCTATGCAGTGAGTGTTATAGCTATAGAAGCCGTGGGTCACAGAGAACCATGGAACCCAGTGACTAGTGTTCAGCTCGATTAGGACGAACTTAGCCGCGCAGGAACAATGGCGAGCCTCTAGCCCAATCAGGAGCAGCAATGGGCGCCTCGATGGATCAGAAGTGCAGAGGACACCCTGCCAGATCCAGAGGGGTGGAAGTCAGCAATGGGTCTCGGAGGGGGGCGATCGGCAGTGGTGGATGGTGAGTGAAAGCTCAGCTCAAGTCGGAACAAACACAAACCAGAAGAGTGTGCAATTGCAAGATTTAATAGAGTGAAAACAGAGCTCCCATACAATGGGAGGGGACCCAAAGGGGGTTGCCACTGCTGGCTCCAATGCTGGGTTTATATCCGGATCATTGTCCCTCCCGCTGTGCTCTCGGGATAGATGATTGACTATTTCTTTACCTCCTGCTTTTAGTCTAATTGGTATTTTAGTGAGCTCCCTTTACTACCTGATGGGTTGGGTGTGAGCTGAGTTACCAGCCCCATGTTTAAAGGTGGGCGCTGTCACCTTCCCCAGCTAGGCTTAGGAATTCTTAGTCAACTTAGGAAATCCAGCTAGTCCTGTCTCTCACCATGACTTCTTCCTTCCTCGTGAGAATATTATCAGGCTTAATTAGATAAATTCTCCAAAGAGCCTTGACCATCCTCACAACTCTTAGATAGATAAAAGCAACATTTTGCAACTCAAAGCATCCCCTGAATGTAAATATCTTTGCTTAGTCAATACATATGGAGTCTGACCTCTAGAAAATTCAGATAAGACAAGGTGGGCTGTTTCCACTTAAAGTAGAGTTCTCGGTCATTTTTCTTTCTGTCATTTTCTTGCTGAGATGCTACCATTCCAGCAGCTCCGCTCGAGTTGTTTGGCCTACAGTCTAGGGAAGAAGTGGTGGTTATGCACAATGCCCAGCACTCCAATTCCACCACCTTTGGTTTTTCTAATTTGAGACACACAGATTTTGAAAATGGATGTTCTAGGTGTTTTTCAAGCTATAGATCATGATTTATCAGCGAGTTGTAAAATAAAGTGAGTGGGTTGTGACTAACATCTTTTAAAAATAAAAGGGAATAGAGCAGAATGGAAAATATCAAAAGGTTTAAGTATTGGGGTGTGTGTGTGTGTGTATCTCCTAGGTTTATTAATGTGGATTGCAGCTTAAAAAACAAAAGTTTTGAAAGTCATTGACGGCCATTGATCCAGAGCCCTAGAGTGAGAACCAGGGACCTGCCTCTAACTGGCTGCAGCATCTCCATGGCAGATTGCTTGGTTTTCTTTTGGTCTCAGTGTTCTCATTTGTAATATGGAAAGAAGGGTTGGACCAAGTGATTTCTAAGGTCTTTCCAGCTCTAAAATTTTATGAATTTATGAATCCTTGAATGAGGTAAGTCCTTGATGTGGCTTTGTTAAATTTGTTATTTTGGGTAGCCTCTGCCCAAAGATCACTGCGGCCGGGAACGGTGGCTCATGCCTGTAATCACAGCACTTTGGGAGGCTGAGGCCGGCGGATCTCTTGAGGTCAGAAGTTCGAGAGCAGCCTGGCCAACACAGTGAAATCTCTATCTCTATTAAAAATACAAAAAATTAACTGGGCATGGTGGTAGTCCCAGCTACTCAGGAGACTGAGGCAGTAAAATCACTTGAACCTGGGAGGCAGCGGTTGTAGTGAGCTAAGATCCTACCACTGCATTCCAGCCTGGGTGACAGAGCAAGAATCTACCAAAAAAAAAAAAAAAAAAAAATCACTGACTTTAGGAAAGAAGGTGGCCATAGAAACACTAAGGGTACCTAATATATGAAAGGAGAGAGTGTAGATGAACCATGGTTGGATTAGACCCTTTTTTGTAGGAAAGCCTGTATTACTTTGGAGAAAGGTGAACAGATAAAACCAACAGCACTGAATTTCAGGGAGTAGAAACTCTTTCTCAGGTAAGTTTTCCTTTTTAAAAGGGAAGTTTTTTTAGGGGAGTGGGTTAAGATTGCCACCTGTTACTTGGTTTCATTTTAGACTCTTCTCCTTTGGTGATCAGGCAGCAGCATTTGGGCACCTTGTGACAGGCCTCTGTCCCTCCCTGAGGCTGAGGGCCATGCTTCCCAGGCTGGGGGCTCTGGCTTCTCCTCAGAGCATCCTGAATTCTATGCTATACTGGTTATTGTTTACAGAGCTCAGGAGGCGATTATTTTCCCAAAGTAGGAAGGTCCAATACCTAAGGCCCCAGGACCCTGAAGTTTATCTAAAATCACCAGCCTTTGATTTCAATATAAAAAAGATCCAAGTCTTTCACAAATCCTTGCTCGGGCAATTCAACCCTGCAGAACATCACAAAGACTGTTTTGGGTGACTCCTCTGTGTGTGTGTGTGTGTGTGTCTTTTCTGTGTGTTGTGGGGGAGGTGTATGTTAAAAGAGAAAGTAAAGGGGAAATAAAGTTTTCAAAAACTCTTTATATACCAGACAGTATTGCACTTTTACATATCTCATTTAATACCCATAACACCTATGTGAAATATACAGTTACTCTATTTTTTAATTGTTGGCTGGGCACAGTGGCTCATGCCTGTAATCCCAACAGTTTGGGAGGCCAAGGTGGGGCGAATCACAAGGTCAGGAGTTTGAGACCAGCCTGGCCAACATGGTGAAACCCTGTCTCTACTGAAAATACAAAAATTAGCTGGGCATAGTGGCGGGTGCCTGTAATCCCAGCTACTCAGGAGGCTGAGGCAGGAGAATCCCTTGAACCCAGGAGGCAGAGGTTGCAGTGAGCTGAGATAGCACCACTGCACTCCAACCCAGGTGACAGGGTGAAACTCCTTTTAAAAAAAAGAAAAAAGAAAAACGTTTGTTATGGAAAAGTTTAATCATATACAAAAGTCCAGAAAAGCATACAATATATCCCCATATAGTCATCACATTGCTGCAACAGTCATTTCAGCCTGCAACCAGCCACATTTCATCCATTCTTTTCCCACTCTACTCACACCCCTAACCTCACTCTCTACTCTTGCTTTCCCTAAACCTGGGTTATTTTAAAGGAAATTTCAGTCCTCAGATCATTTTATCCCACAGGTATTTCAGTATGACATTTAAGGACTCTTAAAAAAAAAAAAACCCTGAATACTCTTTATCATATATAAAAATATTACACCTTAAAAATCCTTAATATCAAATTTGTAGTCCATGTTTGTTTCCAAAATTGTCTTAAAATCTTTAAAAATTTAGTTTGTTTCAATCAGAATTCAAACAAGGTCCACACATTTCATTTGGTTGCTGTGTCTCCTAAGTCTCTTTTAAGAATCTAAGTTCATGGATTTCTCACCATTTTTTATTACTTGTAATTTGTTTATTGAAGAAACCAGGATGTTTATCCTATAGCATTTACAACATTCTAGACTTTGCTGAGCTATTCTAAGAGTTACATATTCACCAGCTCATTTAATATTCTCAGTAACTCTATGAGTAGCCACTACTATGATTCTCATCTTATAAATTAGAAAACTGAGGTTCAGAGACAGCAACTTTTGAACCAAGGACTGAAATCTAGATGTCAGACCCTGAAGCCATTGCTGTGCATGGCTTCTCATTTATAGTGCCTTTTCTGTATTGCCCCTAAAACTCAAGTGAGAGTGGGTTGGGAATTCTTAAATAGATTTGGATGTGGCTGTAAATGAGTTTTTCTTTAAGTGGTGGGAGCTGAGTAAGTACTCTTGGCCCCATTAGAACACTGTAACTACTGGCCCTAAACCCTTAGTTTGGGTCAAAAGAACTCAGCCTTATCCACTGATACTTTTCTCCCACACCCTAGCCAAAAACAAAACAAAACAAAGACAGTCATAGACCCTAAGCTAAAAGTAATAGGTGAATTTACTGAAGTGCAGCCCTAATCATGCCACTTCCACTCTCAAAATCCATACTGTGTCCCCACTGCCAATGGCAATAAGCTAAATGTTTCAACCTGGCACTCAGAAGCCGCAGTTTGACTTTTCCAACCTTTTCTTCTGCTGTGTGCATGCACACATCCCACACTTGAACACATTTAGGCTGTGTGCTGTTTCCCAGCCTGTGGACACGTGATTCCCTTGTGCCATTGCTCAGGGCCCTTTTCCTGGAGTCTCTTTCCCTTCTCAGCCTGAAGTAGTCTTGCTTTTTCAATTCTTTAAGCCCTTTGTGTTTCTCTTAGGGACTACATTACTTTTCATTATTCTCTAGGTATTTGAAGTGGTGACTTCTGTATCCCCTTTAAAGGCAAAGCCCATGGCTTACCCATCTTTCCACCTTTTTCTCATAATATCATCTTTGTAGTGAGTGGCTCCTATGTGTTGATTGAATTAATTTCTACTACATGTCCATGTTGTTTTAAGTTTAGGAGAAGGAAGCATGGGAGCACAAGCAGCTTGAGGGCCCTGGTAGGCTACAGCCTTTAGGGGAAGGTGGAGAATCTGGTGGCAGGAGCTAAGGGGATGCTAGATGGAGCTCCTTCAACACCTCTCCCCACACATCTCCCCATCCCCATTTCTTCTGCAGTCATGCATAGTTTCCCAAACTTTAGTCCAGAACTAGCACACCAAAGGCTGCAACTGAATCTTTTCTGAATCACTGAGAAAGCAACACAGGGACTCAGCTGCATGTTTGAGAGCTGTGTTGGCAAGACCTCAGGACAGAGTACCCTCTGTGTCTGCTGGTGATTCTCAGACACCATCACATTCTGATCCTGCACTGGGGGCTATTCTACTGACTACATCTACTCTTTTTTTTTTTTTTTTTTTGAGACGGAGTCTTGCTCTGTCACCCAGGCTGGAGTGCAGTGGCACGATCTCGGCTCACTGCAAGCTCCGCCTTCCGGGTTCACGCCGTTCTCCTGCCTCAGCCTCCTGAGTAGCTGGAACTACAGACGCCCGCCACTGCACCCGGCTAATTTTTTGTATTTTTAGTAGAGACGGGGTTTCACTGTGGTCTTGATCTCCTGACCTTGTGATCCGCCCACCTCGGCCTCCCAAAGTGCTGGGATTACAGGCATGAACCACTGCGCCCGGCCTTACATCTATTCTTAAGAACTTTCATGAGCCTTCCTCATGATTGGCCCTTTCTAAAGGAAAGTGTGTCAGTTAGTTACTTTAATGAGCATTTCCCAGTGGGTAAGGAACAGTCTGTGAACTTATTCTTTTTTTTTTTTCTTTGAGACAGAGTCGTGCTCTGTCGCCCAGACTGGTGTGCAGTAGTGCAATCTCAGCTCATTGCAATCTCGACCTCTTGGGTTCAAGCGATTCTCCCGCCTCAGCCTCCCGAGTGGTTGGGCTTACAGGTGCCCATCACCACGCACAGCTAACTTTTGTATTTTTAGTATAGATAGGGTCTCACCCTGTTGGCCAGGCTGTTCTCAAACTCCTGTCCTCAAGTGATCTACCCACGTCAGCCTCCCAAAGTATTGGAATTATAGGCATGAGCCACAGCACCCGGCCAACTTTTGAATTCTGAACCAGTTGATTCAGTACCAGAGCTCTTCAACACCTTGAAGAAAGATTCAAGGAGAGCAGTTGTGAACAGCCTGCCCCAGGGAAAGGACAAGGCTAAGAGAATTCCAGGGCTTACTTGTGAAAACAGAATTGGGGAAATGGAAAGTGAAGAAATTGTAGCTGTCAGGAACAAGAGAATGACATGAAATCTGCTACGGAGATATGTCGGTATTCCTCTTGAGTTTTCACATATACCATTCTCTCATGCCCAGCAAGCTGCTCTTCACCAAACCACAAACCTTCCTCTAACCGAGTCACAACTAAGCTTCTATCTGTACACTGATAATGCTGTAACTGTTTTGTTGTTGGTTCCGATTAGTTGCCCTCCCAACTGTAAGCAGCCTATAAACAAGACCTGGCTTCATCCTTCTTAATTCCCCATAGCACTTAATTCAGTATTGTACCCCCAAGGTATTAGTTGTGAGGCAGCATCCCTCAAAATGTCTAGTTATATAATATCATCCATTAAATGTTTCCTTAATTACTTACTTCCCTTAAAAAGCTTTATGCAAAATAAAATAAATATATATATATATATAGGAATGCTGACTTTAGACTTTCATCTCCACTTCAAGTGAGGCTTCTGTTGCTTTTCAGAATAGATACGTTGGATATTTTGCACAAGTGAAACATATCTACAACTGGAATCTCCCTCCAAGAAGGATACTTTTTATAAAAGCATTCATTATTTATTCAATTCATGGTAAGTGCTTTATGTATAATTGGAGAATTGGGCAGGAGGGCCAATGTTCCCGCTCTGGGAGGCTTTTGCTCATAGTTACATATACAGATGATCCTAACTCATATCTGTCTTTTTACATATCCTCACACATGAACTCCTCCTTATGTATGTCCCTCCTCCTGCAATTGTCCATTGATTGCCAGCCCTTAGATGTTCTTCACTTTTTCTTTTGGGGGACTTCATCCCCTTCCCATCTTTCCTGTTCTTGTTGCTCCTCTGGTCTCAACCCAGGGTGGACTTTTCAGGGCAGAGTGAGCCTCTGATGAGGGAGGAGGAGGACCCATGTGCCCTCAAGACTAGTTATTTCTCATAACCACCTCTAGTTCAGAGCTTGTCTTGGTGCAGGTGTCTCCATACCATATCATTTTCTCACCTTCTTTCAGAGGCATATTTTTTTCTTATCACCCTGGGCTCTCCCTTTCCCCTGTCTCGTCTATCTGTAACCCTCTCACTCCCAGCTTACACTCGGGGGAGGTGGAAAAGCAGGATGTGTCTGTGTGGAAGGGATGGGGTCTCACCACTCCCACTGCCAGAGAGGTAGCAGGGAGGAGGCGATGCTTCTGAACCCCTAAAACAAACCTCTTCTAGCAGCCAGCTAGTGGACCTGAGGTGGTGCCAGTGCTGGGTGTTATAGGTGCCATGGTGCCAGGATGCTGGTTTCCACACAGACAGCCTAGTATTTTTAGCTTTCTGAATTTAGTTCTACATTTCACTGATTTCTGGTAGACATCAATAGAAAGAAGTTCTGCACCTGGAATGGGAAAGAGGGAACTGAGGCAAGAAACTGTGATTTCTAATGACAAATTAATAGCATAGTGTTAGTGAAAACAAAATTAAATGAAAAGAAAACAAACAGCATACAATATGAGTAATCAAGAATAATTAATACACTAGTTTATTAAAATATTTGTTTTAATTCTCTACCTTTAATTTTGTGCATATTTAAATTAAAAATGTAGAGTTGAGAGTAAAGCAATAAAGAGTTAATTGGCTGAGAAACCAAGTCTTTGAGGAAATGCTAAAGGAAGTGAGTCATTTGAATTGAAAAGAAGGGCAAAAGAGCCTTTTTCTGTAAATATATGCTGAACACCACAGGAATTTTTGGATATAACTATTGTATATTTTTATAGGGATTACATCAGGAACTAGACTTAAAGTAGGACCAAAGTAGTGTATTTATTATTAAGAATCATTATGATTAGAAGTCTGAAGAAAGCAACATATTAGCAAGAAAGGTTGCAAGTCACCTTCCTTTCTTTCTTTCTTTTTTTTTTTTTGGAGACAGAGTCTTGCTTCACTGCAACCTCCACCTCCTAGGTTGAAGTGATTCTCCTATCTCAGCCTCCTGAGTAGCTGGGATTACAGGCACATGCCACCACGCCCAGCTAATTTTTGTTATTTTTAGTAGAGATGGGGTTTCACCATGTTGACCAGGCTGGTCTCGAACTCCTGACCTCAACTAATCCATCCACCTCGGCCTCCCAAAGTACTGGGATTATGGTGGTGTGAGCCACCGTGCCCGGCCCACCTTCCCTAGATATTTTTTCTGGAAAGATATAGTGATGGGATTCTAAGTCTTTAAAGCTGAACTATATGTAATTTTTTTTCTCCTCTCTAGACTTATAAAATCTGCTTTAGGAGACAGAACTGGGCTTGAAGACTTGTCTTTCAAGGACAAAATCCATGCAAGACCAAATAGTAACTACTGATACATTGTTAGCTTGGATAACTTTTTCTCTTTTTCATCCATGATGTTAATTGCTGAGACATTTTGATCTTCGTGCTAACCAACCTAACTTTTAAATTTCATTTAGGTGTTGGAGCAGGTGATGGATATGATCTAAAAGTCAAAATAGTAATAGAGAAAAAAGTTGTCTTTTCCTGTACTAATTTAAGAAATTGTTAGGTAAGAGAAAGCATGTGAATTGAAAAAAATCTGATGTTTGTTTTAAGGCTGAATGTCAAAGCAGCAATGTTCACCTCCCTAAACTATCACTCACCATAGAGAGTCCATAACGCTTTCTGGTTACCATCCAACTTGGTGTCACTGGGTTTGGTTGCAAACCAGAGATAAATTAACCTGTTTGTTCAAAACAGTTTTTTTCAGGGTCCTTTCCAGAATTTATTTCTGTTCAGTGTTGCTTTGCCTTTCATTTTTCCATAAATGCTGAGCATGTTCCCAGGAATGTGTTAAGGATTTTAATTTACATACCTGGTCTTTACAGCTATATTCTCTTGTTGTTCATTTTATCTTTAATTATACAGTACTGATTCTAAAATTTTAGTGTGCATGAAAACCACCAAGGAGCTTGTAAAGATTTACATTCTTAGGTTGTACCCCCAAAGTGTGATTCGGGAAATCTGGAATGGGGGCCAGGAATCTACAGACTTAGCAATGTCCCAAGTGATTCTAAGTCAGACGTTCTGTGGGATGACCCTATGAGAAATAATGCAAGAGTGAATGAACTGGGGAGGAGTCTCTTTATCCAAAGCAAAAAGGACCTGGTAGTCAACGTTTTGCTGCAATGAAGAAATGCCTAAAACTATACACCTTTTCTGAAACAATAAGAAAGCTTCCTTCATGGGTCTAATAACCATAAACTTTTCCTACCCAGGCCTTTGTCTCAGATTCTCCTGTTACCCTATTCCTTCCCTCTCTGCATCACCCCCTCTCTCCTGCTCTTTTTTTGGCCTCTCTCAACTGAGGGCATTCACCCAGGCCTGACCCTTGGCTTTCTGTTCTTAGCAAATGCTTTATTCTTGGTTGAAGAATGACCCATTCCCCTTACTTAAACTATTATTTGTTCATTTACTGGTCAGATGTTTATGAGAACCCACTGAGTTGTAGATGCAGGAGCTACAACATGAACAGTTTCCACTCCAACTCAAATGCATTAGCCAGTCTGAATTGTCAATGAGCTTTCTCTACTTCTGCAAATGGCACCAGCATTCTCCGACTCAGGCCTTGTGCTTTGATTCTCTTTGCCTCGGCTCCCTAAATCCAGTTAGTTATCAATCCCTGCTGATTATGCCTTTGAAATTTTTCTGTGTTCTCCTTCCTTTCTGTTCTCACTGCCACTAACTGTCCAGAACCTCATTTGCTTATGCTTAGATTTCTACAATGGTCTCCTTACCTTTTCTTTCTCCTTATATAATGCAATGTATAGAATCCTCAAATATGCATCCTGGAATATTCTCTCATTGTGAAAAGTTGTAGGTAGAGCAGAAGACACACTGTGTGCCCGTGATCAGAGCCAGTTCACACCTTTGGCCCAACATCCTTATCTGTAAAATAAATATCATATCTCAAGTGTTATGGGAATTAAATTAGATAATATATATGAAGTTTCTTTGTAAACTATAAATCACTAAATAAGTGTTATATATGATAATTATCAGGCATCTTTGTCACGTAGGAAATGCCCCACCATATTCTTCAACAACTTCACTCTTATTTCTTTGACTCTTGAGCTCTTAAGATGTAATAGCCCTAATGTAATACCTGAGCTTTTTCCATCAGTAGTTTGACCAACAGACTTCATTCCAAATAAACTGGGTCATCCTCTTTGGCTCTTGGAACACAACTCTAATTTATTTAGTTAGTTAGTTGGTTATTTCTTTCTTTCCTTCCTTTCTTCCTTTTCTTTTTCTTTTCTTGAATCAGGGTCTCATTCCGTCACCCAGGCTGTAGCACAGTGGCATGATCATGGCTCACTGCAGCCTCGACCTCCTAAACTCAAGCAATCCCCCAATTCTTTTATTTTTTGTAGAGCCCAGATCTTGCTATGTTGCCCAGGCTGGTCTCAAACTCCTGGGCTCAAGCAGCCTTTCCACCTCAGCCTCGCAACGTGCCAGGATTATAGGCATGAGCCACACTGCCTGACCTTTTTTGTTGTTGTTTTTCTGATTTCTTTTTTTCTTTTTCTTTTTTTGAGATGAAGTTTCACTCTTGTTGCCCAGGCTGGAGTACAATGGTGCAATCTCAGCTCACTGCAACCTCCACCTCGTGGGTTCAAGTGATTCTCCTGCCTCAGCCTCCCAAGTAGCTGGGATTACAGGCATGCGCCACCACGCCCGGCTCATTTTTGTATTTTTAGTAGAGATGGGGTTTCTCCATGTTGGTCAGGCTGATCTCGAACTGCCGACCTCAGGTGATCTGCCCGTCTTGGCCTCCCAAAGTGTTGGGATTATAGACATGAGCCACCATGCCCAGCCTATTTTTCTAATTTCTACTTCACATTATTGCTGTTCTTTTTCCCTCTGTATGGACTACATTCTATTTCCAGAGCCCTTCTTCCTCTATCTAAACTGTTTCATGTCCAATTCAATTTTTACCTCCTCAGTGAAATTTTTGCATTCTGCACCTCCTATTAACTAGCCCCCAATAGTGCATAACAGCACACCCAGTCTTCATTATACAGATTGAGTTATATACCATTCTACTATTGTTTCTTATGTGTACAGCTCCCTGAAGACACCTACGGAGTCTGTACCTCCTTTTGTGTTTTTCACAGGACCTAGACCTTTCTTATTGTGGGTGCTATTATTTACAGGAGAGTGAGTCAAAGAAATAGTATAGCTTCGAAGTCATTCATTCCAAAACTTGACCTATCTTTGGTCACTTCATCCACCAACCTGCAATGGTCAAGTCCAAAGATCCCATTGACAAACACAAGAGTTCTGATAAAACATGATGAGTAGGGGAACCCCGCTCTCCCCCTCCCTCGGGAGGGGCGGGTGGGCCCACTGCCCAAGTGTTACAGGCCCCCGTTGTTATTTTTTAAATTTAGAAAATAAAAAACCTTGGTGAGTTACACATTGCTTTTTGAATGTCAATGTTAGCTTTAAAATTGAGCTTCTTAATGTATTCTCAAAAGAGGCCCTAACGCATGAACATCAAATGACACACATTAAATTATAATAATTGATTAAAGTCTAATAGAAAATTCAATATTTTTTTAAAGGGCAAGCATGGTGGCTCATGCCTCTAATCCCAGCACTTTGGGAGGCCAAGATGGGCAGATCACAAGCTCAAGAGATCGAGACCAACCTGGCCAACATGGTGAAACCTGGTCTCTACTTAAAATACAAAAATTAGTTCGGCCTGGTGGTGCACGCCTGTAGTCCCAGCTACTCGGGAAGTAGAGGCAGGAAAATCGCTTGAACTCAGGAGGCGGAGGTTGCAGTGAGCCGAGATCCCACCATTGCACTCAGCATGGTGATGGAGCGAGACTCTGTCTCAAAAAAAAAAAAAAAGAAAAGAAAAGTGCCTCATGATAACCCTCAAACATGTTGGCATTTTAAAAACGTGAACAACAGGCCCAGTGCAGTGGCTCACGCCTGTAATCCCAGCACTTTCGGAGGCCCAGGTGGGCAAATCACTTGAGGCCAGGAGTTCGAGACCAGCCTGGCCAATATAGTGAAACCCCATGTCTACTAAAAATACAAAAATTAGCCGGGTGTGGTGGCATGTGCCTATAGTCCCAGCTACTCAGGAGGCTGAGGCACAGGAATCACTCGAACTTGGGAGGCAGAGGTTGCAATGAGCAGAGATCATGCCCCTGCACTTCAGCCTGGGTGACAGTAAGACTCTATCTCAAACACACACACACACATAAGCAACAGTATTACAACTAGAAAAGATTAATAATTATTTATACGTGTAGTGATTGGGCTGTGAGACCAAAAGTACTTGATAAATATTGGAAGTCATAATAAGTGAAAAGAAACTTCATTGTTATCGTTAGTTAGGTTTATAGTTCTAAATTCCATGTGTTCATTCACAGGTATTTCATGACACTGAAATAGAGCAATAATTGATGTATTCAACTATCCGCCTCTGCATGATGATATGAAAGTGCAATTTTTCTCTTTGGTGAGTAATCAAGAAACAGCCTCTGCCATTGTTCTTGTCTGGTCTTTTGAATGATTTTATTTAAGATTTGCTTTACTACAATTCCCAACAAGGGAGATGACAGATGTCATCCCACAGAGGGAGGGGGAGAAAAACGATAAATCAGATTTATAATAAATTTTTTTAAAAGAACATATGTAATTTGAATAACTTTTGTTCATTTGTTTTTTCTAAATTGTAAATTTTCTAAATTTGTCTAAATTTACATATGTTAATTATCAAATACAAAAAATACAAAATAAACACAAAAAAAGCCAAGATGCTAAAAAAACCCCAAAGTTATGTTTTACTGCATAGCAATGATTACATTTTGTTTTGCATCTTTTTTTTAAATTAAAAAAGTAATCATGCCTGTAATCCCAGCACTTTGGGAGGCCGAGGCGGGCGGATCACATGAGGTCGGGGGTTCAAGACCAGCCTGACCAACATGGAGAAACCCTGTCTCTACTAAAAATACAAAAGCAGCTGGGCATGGTGGCGCATGCCTGTAATCTCAGCTATTCGGGAGGCGGAGGCAGGAGAATCGCTTGAACCTGGGAGGCGGAGGTTGCAGTGAGCTGAGATTGCACCACTGCACTCCAGCCTGGGCAACAAGAGTGAGACCCTGTCTCAAAAAACAGAAAAAAAAAAAAAAAATTGAGACAGGGTCTCACTCTATCACCCAGGCTGGAGTGCAGTGGCGTGATCATAGCTAACTGCAGCTTCAACCTGCTGGACTCAAGCAGTCCTCCCACTTCAGCCTCCCAAGTAGCTTAGAGCACTGACTGGAAAGAAAGTTAGGTTTGGGTGACTCCGTTGGGTGAAACACAGAGAAGGCAGCACAATAAAACACATCAAATAACTGAAGCAGTTTTTTTTATTAATTCCAGAGAGAAGAGGGCAGCACACTTCGCAGGGCTAACTGGAAGGGAGAGCCATCCAGGAGACCTGTGCTCAATGGGGATCAATAGCGAGAGAGAGGGAGGGGCCTGGGAGTAGAAGCCTTTATTGGGATGTAAGGTGCTATCTGAGCAGGTTTCCTACAGGGAGGTCCAATTTGGTTTAATGCAAGCAGCCATGAGTCTCTGTTGTAACTGAGAGGTGGTCACTGTTATATCCACATGGTTCATGTGGAGTATGGGGGTCTGTGGGGTGAGTCAAGTAGGTTATATCTAGCTGTCCCATAATGAAGTAGTCCCCAGGAGAAGGTTGAATAAGGTAGCCAACAGGATCAGTCACATTGAGAAACTGGGAGGAGGTGAACTGGAAAGTGCTGAGGGTGACTGAACCCTGCTTCCAATATCAGAAAGTCCAATTTATATTTAAAAGGGATGCTGAGGCCACAAACAAATTTTAAGAATTCACTACAATATACTTGGGTCCTTAGGCTTAGGTCCTTAGTAGATTCTGTTTAGCACTATCTAAACTAGATTCAAATATCAGCATTTACATTTTAATTTAATATTAAATTAAATATCTAGCATTGAAAATTTTAATAGAAACAGCAAGAGAATGCAATAGCATTTTCTTAAGCCTCCTCCTTTGTGTCTTGAGGGATTGTTGTAGACTGCAGAGTGCTATGTATTTAATGGTTATAATTGTTTGGTAAATATATAAAGGAATGAAGTTTAATTTCTTTGGAATGATTAGTTCTTGGTATCAGTTTTACTTTGAAAAAATTTTTTTTTTCTTTTTAGGATCTTCCTAAATACTATGACAACTGTCATTTTTTCTTCTGGTTTAACACATCTTTTATACAGAATAACAGATATGGATATAATATAAACCTATAGAAACAGCCTAACCTTCAATGTCTATGTATAAGGTGTAATGGCAAGTCTTTTCCTGGTTGTCAAGAACTTTATAGAGAGCAAAAACTCCTCAAGCCACCATTGACCGTTGCCTTACTCCTCTTAATTTTGGTTATTTTAAAAATACAGTTAGTTGTTCTTGAGACCCACTGTTGCAGTATCCTCAAGGTCCATGCCACAGGACTGTGTTATGAGTTCAAAAATATTATAACCAGATCTTAAGTGTGATAGCAAATTCTTCCCAGAGAAGTTCAATATGAGTCTGCTCAGTACTTTCAATATGTCAGGTCCTCAGTAGGTGCTGATTTACCAATGACAAACCACCACCAAATTTTGTGCTAAAGTAAGGCAGGACCTAGGGAGGCTTCAGCTAGCTGAAAAGCTGACTGACACACTTATATCTAGGAGAAGTTATAAGACACAATAAGTATTAAGGACTACAGCTAAAAAAATATCATTAAGTAATAACCTCCCATTTAAATGTGGCTTTCTAATAACTGAATTGGGAAAACTTTCTGAAAAATTATTAATTGGATTTGGAGATTATTGTTCCAAAAAAACCTTCTGCCATATTTGGAAACTCATTTTTCAGTCTAGAAGTTATCCACTATAAGTAGCATTTGTTCTGTGGTGGTGAAAAATTGAGATTTTTTTCTAATCAACCATACTCTTCAATACAAAAGGAGAAAATATTTTTTAAATGATTTAGGTGAGAGTTGAAGAAGTGGCTATGATTATATGCGGCATGAATTGATAGTTATTGTTACATCCAGTCCTAATCTTTTCTTCAGATGTGGACTGGATCTAATAACTCCTTAAGTCCAGCAAGGCAACGGTAAATTAAACCTGTGGTCTACACACCTGTAATGTATATACGTTTAATGGATTTTGATAGAGTGAACTTTGGATTTGATGGAAATTTTTTACAATTTTTTTTCTTGGATGTATACAAACAATAAACTTTTTCTTCTAACATGAGCAAAGTCCCTCAAATAGTGAGAGCTGGGTGGAGCTTCATTTGATGCTGTTCCTCAAAAATGGTTCTTGCTAAAGGATAGTTTTTTTTCCTTTAAAACACCATTTTCATTTTGAAGAAGCAGTAAGTTAGATCACTTTTATTCTCACTTTTATATAAATTTCTAAAGATTTCTGTAACGTTTAAATTTACATACTACTTGGCAAAGCTGTTTTTGTTATGAGATTGTTATAGCCAAAAATGCCAACTTCTATCATTTAGAATATTAGGCATAAATGGGTTAACAAATTTATGCCTAGTGTTCTATTATTGGAACGCTAAGCATGTGGGAGTTATATACTACTGCTCAAGGTCATCTCCAAGGTCTGATTGTAAAAATTCAAAAAATTGCAACCTCACACATAAATTTAAAGGGATATAGTATTTTATTACTGGGTTTTCATTCATACCTGGCCTGACTGATTTCTGAAATTTAGATATTTTATTAAACCTGAATGTTATTAATTCCATAAAAAGCAATGTTAAAAGAATCAGAGACCAGGCGGCCAGGCGCGGTGGCTCACACCTGTAATCCCAGCACTTTGGGAGTCCAAGGCAGGCAGATCACGAGGTCAGGAGATCGAGACCATCCTGGCTAACATGGTGAAACCCCGTCTCTACTAAAAATGCAAAAACAAAATTAGCTGGGCGTGGTGGCGGGCACCTGTAGTCCCAGCTACTCAGGAGGCTGAGGCAGGAGAATGGCCTGAACCCGGGAGGCGGAGCTTGCAGTGAGCCGAGATCACGGCACTGCACTCCAGCCTGGGCGACAGAGTGAGACTCCATCTCAAAACAAAAAAAAAAAAAGAATCAGCGGCCGGGCACGGTGACTCACGCCTGTAATCCCAGCACTTTGGGAGGCTGAGGCAGGTGGATCATGAGGTCAGGAGATCAAGACCATCCTGGCCAACATGGTGAAATCCTGTCTCTGCTAAAAAATACAAAAATTAGCTGGGTGTGGTGGCGAGTGCCTGTACTCCCAGCTACTCAGGAGGCTGAGGCAGAATCTCTTGAACCAGGGAGTAGGAGGTTGCAGTGAGCTGAGATCAGGCCACTGCACTCCAGCCTGGCAAGAAAGCAAGACTCGGTCTCAAAAGAAAAAAAAAGAATCAGTTACTGATGTGTTGCTGGAGCCAACTGAGACACAAAAAAGGGGCTGAGGTTCTATTCATGGTAAGGTTCTTTTCTTATTTCTTCAAGCTGTAACAAGAGCACCCAACTGCATGGCTTTTCAGTTAGCCCCAATATAAAAATGTAATCATTTTTTTTTCTATTCTTAGGCTTAAACCACAAAGAAAGGAATTGGATAATCCACATGAGCAAAAGACATGGAAAATTTACCCACCAGAATTTGCAGTAGAGATTTTTTTTTTTATTAGAAATGACTTATAGTTACGTTGTAGCTGGTATCTGATTAAGTGTAGTTCCCCCTTCCCCTTCTGGGAAAGAATTATGTTCTTTCCAACCCCTGCCACATAGTTACATGTTCTAAATCTTCCTTGATGGTATATCTATATTTATATAGGTTTACATACGTTCTTGATAAAGCTATTAAATATATATAGATAAAATGTCTTTTTTTTTTTTGAAGGCATATACTTCACAGTTTCTATCTTGTATTTATATAAATCTGGAACACAGTATGCAGGAACATTAGGCATCATTCTGAAGAACTTTGAAATAGAACTTTCATATCAAAATAATTGAGATATTTAAAAATTGTGATTCCCCAACACCCACTTACATACTTTTGGTCAAGTATTTATTCCCTGCTTGCTTTCACATTTGTAATTTCACATTTATTAGAAAGCTAATTTATATTTTTTTCTTCTACTTCATTTACAAACTGTCTGTTAACAGATTGGCAGCAAAGACTAAGTTTTAAATCCAGAAGAGAGAAATGTTTCACACAGGCAGTCCCCCAACTCCCAGCACACACTCTTTTCTCTCATTCCAAGCACGAAATGAGTAGCTTACTTAACAAGCTTCCTTTAATTACACACAGACATGGGGGTTGGGGTAAGAAGATCGTGGTAAAAAATATGAAGGATAAATAATCTTCGGTAACTTCTGCTTTTGTATAAAATTGTAAGTGAATCAAAAGAAATATTTGTTCTTAGAGTAATCTAGGCGTATTATTTTGAAATCCACTACTC